AATCACTCGTACGCACAACTTAAGAACAAATCTGTGCGTACCAACGGTTCTTGCATGAGGCCCAGTGCTCCAATTCATCAGTACATTTTCCATTCCATCCTATCATCACTCAGGAACAAGACTCCCAAATACCTGAGACTCACCCCTGAACTCACCTGTTTCTACAGTGACCTGCAGTCTGTTACTGCTGACCTGTAGGTGGAGCATCTGCCACAACCCTAACCTTTAAGTCATACAAGTTTAGGAGATTAGATTAAGTTTGCAGTATCTGATCTCTCAAGTTTTGTGTCAGTCTTCTGAGCTGTCAGGTGCTGAGTGGGTCCAGTACAGAGACACTGTTGGATGTTTGTGTCATACAGGTCACTGAGGATGATGATGATGACCTCGCCCCCCACAGAGAAAATGAAGAAGAAACCTCCAAAGGACAGTTTGACTCTGCTGCCATGTTTCTACTTTGTGGAGGTGAGTCACAACACATGAGCAGAGACAAACTGTTCTACTCAGAACCATCAAGGTTCTGCAGGTCAGGCTTTTTCATGTTTCAACTGACCGAAGCCTTGTAAGTTCATTCTTTATGTTCAGACACACTGGTTTGTGTTCGGACGTATCAGAAAGGTACCGTCCCATCAGGCAGACAATCCATCTTGTAAGACATTACTCTATCAAGGAGAAGATTCTGAAAGACATCCATCCATCATCCATCCATCTAACCCTAACCCTAACCCCTAACCCTGTCTCATTGGACAGAAGATCCTTCCTGCACAATCTTACTATTACATTAAGCAGAAAATACTTCTTGGAAGACATTTTTTCTGGTCAAAAATCTTTTGTATTGCAGGCAAGATTTCATGTCTGATTGGATAGTAACGTCTTACTGTCCCATGGACAGATTCATACTGTAAGATAATTCCACTGGGCAGACGATCTGTCCTGCAGAATTGGGGTTACAGAATTTTATGTAGAATTTGGATTTCTGGTAACTATGGTAGCTAATTACTTTTGATCTGCTGTTTCTTTTTGTCAGTAAAGTTTCTGTCAGTTTTATTTTCATTAGAATGTGTGATTGGTTTTAGCAGACCGCCATCGTGTTTTACTGCTTCATGACTGTCCAGAAGCAGGTGTTGATGAAACTGCTGACTCTCAGTGACCTGATGGTTGTTTGTTGGCTTCTTTGTTTGCAGCTACCCATTGTGGCTTCTTCTATGGTGTCGCTGTACTTCCTAGAGCTGACGGATGTGGTGCAGCCAGCTCAAGTGGGTTTTCGTTGCCATGACAGGGATCTCAGCATGCCATACGTGGATGAAGGAGATGAGTTGATTCCTTTATTGATGCTGCTGAGCCTCGCCTTTGCTGGCCCAGCTGCTTCGGTACCTACCTATGATTTATTGTCACTTTGGTCAAAAATTGTTTAACCAACTACTGTCTATAACTCAAATGTCCTGACACTCCTTCTGGGATTGAAATGGACATTGCCACCTATGGGTAGTAAAAGACAGAATTAAGGAATTTAAGTAGAGTCTGACTTACTATCTGCAATGTGGACCAAGCTCTGATGCCGGTTCTACAGGGACATAACAGTCCGTATCAACAGGCCTGGTACCCCATACTCCCGGAGTACCCCCCACAGGAGTCCCCGAGGGACACGGTCGAATGCCTTCCCCAAGTCCACAAAAAACATGTAGACTGGTTGAACTCCCATGAACCCTCCAGGACCCTGCTGAGGGTGTAGAGCTGGTCCACTGTGCCACGACCAGGACCAAAACCACACTGCTCTTCCTGAATTTGAGATTTGACTATCCAATGGACCCTGTTCTCCAGGGCCCCTGGATATACCTTACCAAGGAGGCTCAGAAGTGTGATCCCCCTATAGCTGGAACACACAACCCCGGTCTGCCAATCCAGGGGAACTGCCCCCGATATTGGAGAGTTTAGAGATTAGATTAGAGAGACCTTTATTGTCATCGTACAAAGAGCACAATGAAATGAAMTTGCATCAACCAACACAACCCCACAACATCCAGAGCCTTAAGGAACTCCAGGCGAATCTCATCCACCCCCGGTGCCCTGCCACCGATGAGCTTTTTAACCACCTCAGTGACCTCAGCACCAGAGATTGGAGAGTCCGACCCAGGGTCCTCAGGCTCTGCTTCCTCATGGGAAGATGTGTCGGTAGGATTGAGGTTTTCAAAGTATTCTGCCCACCCATTCACAACGTCCTGAGTTGAGGTCAGCAGTGCACCTTCCCCACCATAAATAGTGTTGGGGGTGTTGGGGGTGAACCGCTTTCCCTCCCTGAGATGCCAAATGAAGGACCAGAATTGCCTCGAAGCTGTAAGGAAGTCTTTTTCCATGGCCTCTCCGATTTCCTCCCACGCCCGAGTTTTTGCCTCAGCGACCACCTAAGCCGCAATCCGCTTGGACTGCCATCGAGGGTTGCCGCCATGACAGGCACCGATAACCTTATCTTACAGCCACAGCTCAGGTAAGCCGCCTCGACAATGGAGGTACAGAACATGGCCCACTCAGACTCAATGGGCCTCATGCAAGAACCGTTGGTACGCACAGATTTGTTCTTAAATTGTGCGTACG